ATCAGACGAACATATATATATATATATATATATATATATATATATATATTAAAAAAAAAAAAAAAAATGGTTTTAACAGCAAACAGTCATTCAACTATGATTGTTTATATATTACATTTGTATAAAATTATCTTAATATAACATTACCATCAAGTTCCTAATAATTATAATAAATTCTAATATTTTGATAAATAAATTGAGAAATATCTTGAAATTCTTAACACTTTCATATTTATAAATTTTGTCTAGTCGGCTATTCATTATAATTTTACCTTTACTATTGCATAATGAATCACTCTGCTTAATAATGTACACAGAATAAATGATATTAAGTTTTATTAAAAAATTACATTGTAAATTAATTACAACAGTAAATTCATTACAAATGTACAATGTACCGATTAATTCGAATGATATTATTATTATTATTATTATTATTATTATTTTAATTGGATTTTAATTGGAAATTGGCGTACAATGACCTCGTAAAGGTATCCAGGAAGATATAGTGCAAGGCAGCGCCTTATGTTTTGAATTTCGTAATATGTTGTCGACGTAAATCCAATAAAATCTTGAAATAAAATTCAATATCTTCCATAATTTCAGGCTCATTTGAACAATTGGCATAATAATGCTTTTATGACTTTGTAAGCTTGTGGTTAATGATTCTTCATTTGATTCTGATGTATCCAAGTTTAAAACAGATGCAGATTTAGAATTATATAACTTTAGTATCATAAACCAATGCGAGTGATAATTATTTTGTTTAATTGTGGGACAGCTTAAGAAAATGTGAAGGTATTGTGTCAGAATTATTAATGAGTATTGAGATAAAATTTTGCAAGTTACGTAAAATATTGACGTGATAATGTAATTTATATTTTATATATTATGAATGACAATGTGCTTATGAGAATTCGGCTAATTACAAATGTTTACCTCGATTACAAACACATTAATTGTTCTGTCAAACACATTCTGTGTCACAAAATACAATTTATATTGATTCATTCACATTGTTATTTTAAATAAAATTTAATTAGAATAAATAAAAAAAAAAAAACTTAAAAAAAAAAAAAAAAAAAAAAAAAAAGTATAGATCCACATAATATTAGAATTACCTGCTCTTTTAAATTTAATACTATTATATTTTTGACAATTTGATACAGTAAATATCATGCCAAATAATACGATATATACAAACAAATAATTCCTCATTCTTATTTATTGTATTGGTCTTGGCTTCTCTGACTTTTTCAACTACGTGCCATGTACTCGTTAGAAAAAAAAAATTTTACACTGAATATTTAAAAGTCAATATCGAGTCATTAATGCTGGTTGTATTTTATGTAAGTTACTAGTATTTGCATGCAATTATGATTTGACTGAGCTTATCAATTTACCTAGTGCACACGCTATTTATGTAGATATTCCTTTTAAAATGAAAAAAAAAAAAAAAAAGAAAAATAGTCTACCATATGAAATATGGAATATATTGAATTTGGAGAAATTATGCTACATAGAGTGTGCTAAAAATTTTTATTTAAAATAATGTTTTTATTTATTTATAAAATAATATTTCTAGTTTATCGTGAGAATTATAAAGCAAACAGGACAAATCTCGATAACTATGATTTGATTATACAATTGATTTTAAAAGAAAGAAATTAAATTTTTTCATAGTTTTTATCGACTAATATAATAATTTTTATTATTTAAGCATAGCAATAATAATTTACTTATTTATTATAAAGATATATATTCGTATATAGAATCGTTTGATTGCATTACCATGGCGCATTCAATAAATTATATTATATGTATAATTATATTTCTTTACTACTAAAGCTTTAATTGTAATAATACTTAAATAATTTGTATATTATAATGATGTGAATTAAATGTGTAAATTAAAGTTTTCTTAAAGAAATTTCCTATTTATCAATAAATACTTATGAAATACGAAATATTAATGAATTATTGTTTTTATTAATAATCCTATAATATTTTACGAAAAATACGTAATTTATTAATAATCATAAATTTATCATTATCTATTATTATACTTATTTTTTATTTTATTAACTACTGATATGTAATAATTAGTAGGAAGTAGAAATATATTAATATTAATCAATTTTTTATAATTATAATTATTAACAGAAAATTAATTATTATTGATGGACTACATATTATAATACAGCTATTATATGCTTAATTTCGTTTGTAATTGAAAAAGCTATGTAAAGTAATTTTTAAGTAATTTAATACAATAATTTGTTGTAAATGAGTACGAAGAATTTTTTAGAATAAGAATTTTTGATAGAATTTTTTAATTCGACGAATAAAAAAAAAAAAAATAGAATATCATCTAATATAAAAATTTAATCTTATTGCTCTACTTTTTTTTTTTTATAAAAAATAATATAAATGTGTAACGTAAATTTTTACTTAAAGTTATAATGAAATTGTTATTTACGATCTTAACAATCGTGCTTATAATTTTATATTTTGTATTTATAATATTTTTAACATGGAATTATGATATATGATAAATAATTTTTTATATTATTAGAAATACTTGGATTATTTTCAATACAGCAACATACATATTTTGTCAAAATTAATTTTTCATTTTGTCTAAAAAAGAAACAAGCTACAAGTTTAATTGAATAATGATTTTATTTATTTGATGTATATTTTGAAAAAATGTTACATAATACTGATCGATCTTAGCAGGTTTTACAAATAATTAAACAATTCCTTTATCTTACAGCCTTTTTTTTTTTTACTACTATGTACTAAGTTTCATATAAGTACACATATTTGTATTATGGAATCAATTTTTTTATGTAAATAATTACATTTCTAATAGAAATCCAAATAAGGGTTCGTTTGACATTAAAATCAATACTATTGATTAACTTTTGCCTTGATATGATAGTTTAACATCTAATTTTTCGTATCATTCATAGTATTCATATTATGAAAATTTAGTCTTTACAGAAGTATAATTTTAGTATTAAATATTTTATGTGACAATTAATTGTTTAAAAATTTATCAAAACTAAGAATAATTAATAAAAGTATTTTTACTACCAGTTTACTTACTATTATATTTAGAATAATATTTACATATTATACATAATCTAGTTAATTATGAGTAATAGGACAATATTAAACAGTTTTAAATAATAATTACAGAAAATATCTCATCAATATACAAGTTATACAAAAATATTTTTTTTTTTACTTTCTTCACAATCCCACAAATTGTCTACAAATTTAGATATTTTCAAAATATTAAAATAATGACTTAAAATTTTTATAACTCTTGTTTTAAGCACAAAGGTTTCAGTGAACAGTGTAAAAATGAAAATTTACCTTCTGATAGAAGCATAGATTGCAAGTTTTTCATAATTACAATTATATTGTTAGAATTATACACTCACGCACACACACACACACAGATATAAAAAAAAAAAGAAAATATATATAAATATGCAAGTATTATTGAGATAGATAATTTGCAATATTATTGGCTAAACTGTTCTATAAAGTATTCCTCGATATAATTACAAATTAAAATATCAGTACTTTTATTAGGAATGTAAGAAAAATTTATACTAAAGAAAAAACATTTCATCGAAACAATAATTGTATCATAATGAAGTTGTTTGATCGCATTAATATTGTGCGAATATCGATGGCATATCTCATGCTTTTTTCCCTCACGACAGATTCTCAATTAGTTATGGAGAATCAAGTTTATATGCATGTCGTGGAAATGGTACACACGATCTTTAATAATACCTGTGTGATATTTATGTATACGTCAGAGAATCCAATGCAATCACTTGGTAATGAAATTTCTTAATGATTCGCCTTGTATTTGTCTATAATTGTCATTTGGATTTTATTTTGAAAATTATGGATTTTATTTTGAATCACATAATTGCTTTTAATGGCAGAAGTTAACATCAAATTGTATTATTTATAATTATATCTTAACGATTAGATGGTACAATTCGGGAAATTCCTTTTAAAATATTTGATCAGATTATAATTTAATAGTGAACATTTTATAGTTGATATTTAAATAGATTATTTAGATATTTAAATAGATTATTTAAAATACCGATTATTTAAAAAGGCTGATCTTAAACATTTTAATAACATAATCTATTAATTAAAATTTATTTATATCAGTAAAGTAGGATGAAATAAATTTTAATTAATCTATTGACAATTATTGATGCTAATAGTTTAAAATATTTATCTATTATTTTTAAATTGATTATCGACATTTTATTTTGATTATATTAATTTAAATTTCTTTACATTTACATTATGCATAGATTTAAACAGATTAATTTTAGACGATCATATTATATTGAAGAAAATTTGAATATTATTAAAGAGCAATTTTTAATTACTAATTTAAACTCTTGTAAAGGTTATCTATCCGAAACTAATCCGTTCAAAAATTTTCTTATAATGCATTAAGATATTGTACAATGCGATTTAAGATATTGTAGAAAATTATAGATAATGAGATAATAATTATAAAATATTAATATATATTTAAAGATCCTCACGAAGCTGAGCAACTTATGTCGATTGTGGCCTACATTAGCAAACTTCATGTTCGAACGTTTGCTTATGCTATTAAAACGTTCAAAGATAAAGTAAGAATATATTATATATTTTCAATTTATTGTTTCGTGATTATTTATTACAGACATAGTGCAGATTATTAAGATTTATATTAATTAATTATTGACTATTAGTTGATTTCAATGTATTACTTTCATTCATTTCATGCGCGCAAACGATTATGTAAATTTCATTTCTACTTTTATATAGTAAGTAGAATATTAAAAAAGAAAAGTTGCGATATAAAACTTTTTATGATTTATAATTAACTTTTTATGAAGGTTGGCGATAGCTATTTCAAATTAAAGAGGCCCTTATTTATATTAATTAACGATTCAGAGGACATGAGGCAACAATTCTCCAAAGTAAATAATATTTTATGTTTAAACATATTTTTATTTCTTGACTGTAAAAATTGAAAGAAAGAGAGAGAGAAAAAAAAGAAAAAGCATACTTAATATGTACAGGAAATAGCGCCTTGGATTTCAATGGCATATATCAACTGGATAATTTTTTTTCGCCAAGAAACAAATATTCATCGATTCTTTTCAGAAATTTTCGTACCTCTTGATTGTATTTTTTTAGTCGTCAGGAAATATAAGGACGGTGCAAGTACTTCGCTTACAGAAATTTATAATATCGATAAAGACCGGGAGTTATTAACAAATTTATTTGGTGTCTGGAATGAAAAAGATGGTTTAAGAATAACAAAACTAACACTCTATCAAAGAAGAAATGATCTTTATGGGCAAATGATAAAAGTAGCTACAGTCCAGGTATCCTTGTATCATTAAATCATCTATTTTAATATAAATAATATATCTTACAAATCCATCAATTATTAAGAGTAAGAATTTTAATAGACTTATATACTAATATATTATAATAGGTTAAAAAAAAAAAAGAAAATTTTCCAATTATAATTAATAATCAATGCGATTACTTTATAGTATAAGTAGTTACCTCTGCTTAAGTATTATAAATAAACATTGTATGATTACATCGAATTACATAATAGTATATCGATTAAGACGGCAAAATTAATTTCATTCAACGAGACAATTTCTTTTAAAGTAACATAATCAGATAAAACATTATTTCCATTATTTAGGATCCACCAGTTTCATTAATTGAACGGAATTCTTCTGGTGAAATTATAGGAATCAAAGGATTTTTTGGTACCGTTATACAGATACTTCAAAAAAATTTAAATTGCACGTAAGTTTGCTTTATTTAGCTTATAAAAATATTATATTCTAAGAACTTTATAATATAATAATAATAATAATAATAATGATAATAATAATAATAGTAATAATAATAATAATAATAATAATAGAATAATAACAGTTGCGTTATTATTTCTGTTTTTATGTACTAAACCGTGTTTTTTAATTTTTAATTTATTTAAATACGCGAAATACATTGAATTTTATTAACTATAATAGCTATCTATCACATATATTATAAATCCAAGTATCTTTATAAAACATAAAAAATTCTTAATCAATGATATAATATAACAAATACGAATATAAATATACTGACAATACAAATTATTTTTTAAGTGGAGGCTTCTGCAACTTGTTTCCACTAAATACATGTTCTTTTACCTCCTCTAGCTTTTCGCGCATTTTTTCTTTAATTCGTTTCAACTGTCGAGCACTTTTCTTGCGAAAATAATGCTCTTCATTATCACCAAATACTTTATTTGTTATACTCTTCTGCGTGCTCTTCTTATAGTAGCATTGATATGTAACGAGCATGATTTTTGAATGAAAAAGACGAATGTTATTATGAATTAATTTGTGAATCATTTTGCGTGATGCTTCAAAGCGTATTTTTAAATCACGTTGTAGAAATTTAATAAAACGAAGTTAACTGAATGTTGTTAGATAAAAATAAATGAATAACTAATGTATTAATTGAAAATATTTGGCATTACCGACTTGGGACGTATCGTACGTATTACGATAAATTAATTACATGTCAAAAAATGTCAAAAAAATGTCAAAAAAATCAATATCGAATAAAAAATTTATGTTTTTTACATAAACAACTTTTACCCAATTAATTGACATTGAATAAATACTGTAATTTACTTAATGCGTGTATATTATAGATTTTTCTTCTTCTTTTTTTCATTCATTTAATTTTGCGATAAATTATAAAATTCATAAGATGATTATTAATATGTGCAAAATTAAATAAAGTTTCATTTAGATTTGAATTTAAAAATATCAGAATTATAAAGCCGTGAAATACAAATACATAATTATTAAAATTATTATTCAAATAATTGCAGCAAATGCATTGTGTTGTTGATCGCTTAAGTAGATATTCAATTAAGACTACATCCCGCCTCTTTATCAATAGTGCAAAAAATAAAGAAAATTTAGGATAATAATTTTAAAAAGTTCAGAAAAGATTTAAAAAAAAAAAAAACAAAACAAAAAAACAAACTCTGATTATCTCTATGAATATCTAAACTTTTTAAATTGGTTTATCATTCCAGAGACTTGGAACGCGCATCAATCGGCTTGTTAACCTCATAATTCTAAATAACATTAGCCTAAATTATTATTTTCTCACTCATTGCCATGAATGAAAGGAGCTGATATTTCCCGGTCACGTTCATTATTACCGGACTTGAAATATAACTGCTTAAGAGGAAATTTCCCCTGCTTCCATACTATTATTTATACCTTCGATTCTCTTTGCTCTCTTTGCTGCAGCGTCACTTACGCGGAGTGCGATTCCTGGGGTTATGTTTTACCAAATGGCTCGTGGACTGGAATAGTGGGGATGCTCGTTAGGAAAGAAATTGATCTTGCAGCCACGGAACTATTAATGACGTCCGACAGACTCGAGGCCATTGAATTCACAACTCCTGTTTTTTCAACCAAGTTAATTATAATGCCACTGTACTTGCTCTATTTTAAAAACGGCCTATGAGAATTTTGAATAAAAAAAAAAAAAAATGTCGTATTGTAGATGCAGAACCTTCATTAAAAGACCATACTTCACGGCTATCAAGTGGACGGCTTATTCTGATCCATTTTACAGTGGTATTTGGATATCCTTGCTAGTGATTATCATAATTTCTAGTTCAATTATATTAATTTCATTGAAAATATTGCCGGAGGAGCATACATTTGAGGAATACGAAGCATCGCCAAATTTCATGGACACGTTTTTTCGCATATTTGGCGCAATTTGCGCACAAGGTTCATACGCTTCTTTCTAACCATATCTCGCTAGTCCAATTGCATGAGAGAGATCACTGTTTCCCAGTCTGATTTCAAATATTAAATATTGTAAATATTTTATTGGCACTCGCATATTTCGTGACATTATCCGAGACTTATATTTTCCAGGGCATAGTACAGCATTAATCGATGCTATAAGAATAATTGATTTGGTTGTTCATTTGACCGGAGTGATTATTTTAGCCGCATATTCAGCGGCGCTTATTAGTTTCTTGGCCGTTAAAATCTTTATTATGCCATTTTCATCGATGGAAGGCCTTTTAAACGACGGCTCTTATAAGTTTGGTGTCATTCGCAATTCCGCAGACTACAATTTTTTTCAGGTACAAAGAATTTTCAATTTTCAATGCAAAAGACATTTGTTAGTACGTTAATAGTTTGTAAAATTAATCCAACGAATAAGCGTCATATAACGTAAATAATCATTGCATTGTTATTTTGATTTTTAACTTGTATAATATTCATCGTAAATAATATTATTTTTACAATATATAGCGAAATTTTAACATTTCAATATTAATTTCTACATAACAAAATTTCATTGTTATAAACATGGTTGAATAGTTTATATGGTTGTATTCAAACTTGACATCAAAGTATAAATGTTTGATTATAAAAACTTGAAAATATAATAATATCAATTTGATAATTAATCGTACGTTCAATTATATTTGTATCGATATATTCTTATTTAATAAATGAGGCATTTTATTTCTCAAAATGTTACAGACTTCTTGAATAATACTGGATTTTTAATATAATTTTATAATAATAAAGATATAAAAATAATGAAATTCAAATAGAGTGATGCTTTTAAGACACTTGAATTCTTTTTATATATTTATAAATTAATTATTTATTCGTGGGGCTAAATAGCTATTTCATTTATTTATTTATTTATTTATTTTTGTTTTGTTAAATTGATTTAGAATACCTCTGACGTAATACTACAGAGAATGTTCGAAGAAATCCTCGATGACGTTGAAAACTTACCGCGCAACTATTTGGAGGGTTTGAATAATATTTGCTCGCAAGATAAGTATGCCTTCATGGTCACGGACAATATGTTTGCAATCTTAGAGCATCAAGTCCCTTGCATTCTCGAGCCATTGGATACGATAATGCAAACTACCCTTGCAATGGCTGTTCCTAGTAGGAGTCCATTTCGAGGAATTATTAATAGCAAGTATGATTACACTATATGTATCATACTACTAACCATTGTATTATATTGCAATAATAATACGTGCTGTTATTCCTTAATTATTCTCATTGGTATTGTTTATCAATTTCAGCTCTCATAAATGTGTTTCCTTGTACTTTTCATATAGAATCAAAGTAAATCTTTTTTTATTCTTAAACTCTTATAGAATAAAATCGCGATGTCTTAAGAAAACGTTAATTTAATATTTTAAATGAATAATAATGAGATATAAAAAAGAGAGAGAGATTGTATATATATATATATATATATATATATATATATATAAATTTATGATACTTTAAAAGTTCAATATCGTGTAATATCAAAATTAAATAAAGATATGAATATTTTAATGATAAATACCACCTATTCCCTTACAACTTGACTAACACGAAATATTCATTTTAGTATTTTACTAATGCGAGATAGCGGTGTTCTTCAAAGAGTAATTGCCACTGAACTGGTCGTACAATCATCTAAGGTTAGTTAATTTATCTTGAAAATACATTCAAATTAAATTTTAGATTTTATACAACAATGAAGGAATATCAGCAGATAAATCGATTGACAATAATAAATGATGTTATAAAGCTTGGAATTACGTTTATTACAGACGAAAGATCATTGGACGTCGGTGGAAATTTTTGACGTTTTGCCATTATTGTTATTAATTTTGGGAGGATCGTTTTTCGGGCTCCTACTACTTTTTCTCGAAAAGGCTCATTATTCGAAGCTTAGAAATAGATTGAAACACTTATCGAAAAACAAATCAGTTAAGCAAAAATCAGAAATGAAAAAATTTTGACAATTAAAGATTATATCATAAAATGTTCCTTTTCATTATTTCTATTATTTACAATGAATAGACGATCGCATTATTATGGCATTGTAATTTTATAAATATTTCATATTATAATTTGTGTTGGGTAATATTATTGCATTGTATACTCTCAGCCGATATTATTTTCTATTTTATTAATTAAATTAGATACTTATCAATGTGAATTAGAATTAAATTAATATTTAAAGCTCCTCTAATAGAATAATAAGTATATTATTTATCATATGATCTTCGAGGATAATTTAGTAATTTATTTGGTAACTAAATTTAATATTTCAATCTCTGGGCTCATTATGATTTAATATTATGAGTTGTAGTTGAAATTTATGTTAATTAATCATCAAATTAATAGAAAGCTAATTTATTTTAATGGCATTTATATATTGAGTTAAAATTATGTAAAAATTAGAAAGAAGGCTTTTTATTATGATTTTCGACGCATAATTCATGGCAATATATATATATATATATATACTTACAATGATATATTTATCGAAATTTGATAAATAGGCATGCTAGATAAAATTTTCCTCAAAATAAAATCCTTATATTTTTTACACTATAGTGGTTGAAAATATATATTTACTTCAAATGTTATGCACATTGGTATTATATTTTTTCACATATTAACGTAGTTAAAGGTGAAAAGAAAATTTAATGCAATAAATTGTCGATGTTTTAAGAATTTCCATATATATCCGTCTATATATCTAACTGTAAATATTAATCCTTTTCATCCCATGAGTTGAGAAAAATATATTTTATTAAATAATAATTATTTTTATAGAACATATCAAAATAATATATATTAATTATCCTTACATTGACATTTCACAATTTTTTTACAGCAAAGCCGATAATTTCAAACTTAATTATTTGCTTGAGATTCTACGTGTCTTTAATCGTGTTCTTCTAAAATATCTTTTATCCATAAATATGGAAAGCTATCTCGATATATATATATATATATATATATATATATTTATATATATATATATATAAACTATTTGAGAGTACATATTATGCGCTTCATGTGGATAATATTATATAATATTTTTTTTTTTTAAACGTCAATGATTGTCCCGGAGATTGTGCCCATTAACATGTACAAATTAACTTGTTACTGGCAATCGCAGCTGGCCCCGTTAGCCTTTTGTCTGCTAAATTGCATCGAAATTTAAAACTGAACTTTCAGTGACAATATAAGCAACCTCATTTTAACAAATGAGCTTATAACTTTAAAGGTTCCTTTAAAATTTCCTTGAAATCTTTTTTGCGCTCATCTAATATGCATGCAATAGTGTCCGCTGCTCAAATATAAAATAAAAGGATAACGACGTATTTTATTGTAAATCCGGCACTTTGCTTAACAAGGCTAAATTTACCATTAAATTTCGAAAATCAACACTCCCAACTCCTTTTAATCGCACTCCAGCAATTAATATTACCCTCAGTTCCCTCCACTTTACTTATAATATCTTCATCGCTCTCCATCTGACTCCCGATTAAATTTATCCAATAATTAACATAATTCTACGGTCAAATGTCTCAAGTAACACTAAATTTAAACCTCATCAATATCCCAGCCAATATCTCCAACCGGCAATTCTCGATCCTCGCTTATTAATGGGCTTAGCCACGAGAACAGTAGGATAGCCAAAATATTTCGCGCTCCACGTGCGAAATCGATAGCTTCGATAGAAATAAAACGCGCGTATTTACGGGCGAGAAGACACTGGCGCTTCGCACCACTTTGTCGTCCCCTGGATCCCCGCGAGAGCAATTGTCGTCTGCTTGGCCGGAAGGTTATTATCGAAGCGGTGATACGTCCCATCCAGTTCCAGTATCGGCGGGCCCTTCTTCACAGCTACAGTTCGCACCTATTGTTACGGGACGCACGAATACGTCGTGCGGAGCGTGAGCTTTTGCAGTATTGGTTTGCAGAGGTAGGGGATTTATATTTTTATTTTGTGAACGGCTTCCGTCGAGTCTCGCGATGCTCTTTGTTGTGAGATTTGTTACGAAGGCGAAGGTAGCGGTGCTACGCCTGTCTTGCTCATTTTTAATTTCAGTGGATGAGTGAAATTATGAAAACGACAATACTTACTTTCGCGTATTTATTTATCAATGAATCATTTTCGGGCTATAACTTTTGATACGAGAAATTAATATGTTTGCCACTCGGATTTTCGTTCATTTTTTTTTATTTTATTTTTTATTTTTTATTTTTTTTTTTTATTTTTTAATTTTCTCTTTAGTATTATATATTTGCTGATAGATTTTGTAAACATTGTTGGTATAGTAATGAAAATTTTGTTAATTAAAGTTTTCGTTAAATTTTTCAATTCTCATCTTACTGGAATCTTACTCCTACTTCGCTCTTCGTACATCTCGATCGGCCGACTATGATTTAAAAATCGCTAGCCACATTAGCCAACAATGTCTAACACATGTTACTTAGCTTACTCTACGGTAGCATCCATTTAACGTTATTTTGACCAATTAATTTTTACAAAATTTATAAAATTCGTGGCTGCAGATACGATCGACTAACATATGAAATGTCACCTTTTCAGATTAGTCGGGATGAATTTAGATACTCAGAATTCGTCCAAGCCGCGCTCCCACAGGTCGTTAAATCCAAAGAAGTACGCCAAAAGTGAAACAGTTGACAAAGAGAATATTGAGAAGGAAAACAAAATGCCGGTAATCGATACCACGCGCAAAGTCACCTCCTCCCCGCGCAACACTAGAAATACAAGGAGTTTTGATAACAACTACGATCGATCGGTACGGCCAAGGGGACTGCAAGGTTCTTTAAATTTTCTTTTATTTTTAAATTTCCACTTTCGGTCGAATGGATTTTCGGGAGTGAATCATGAATGAAATAAATAGACGGTGCGGACGTGTGAAGGTTCGCTATTTTTTAATTTATACATTTAAAGGCCTTTTTGTAAACAATCTATTAATTCATTCATATTTGGTGATTTAGGTGATCACATTATTCATTTCAATAAATATAAAAATAAATATATCTGGATTTTATTTCAATAATAACGGTCATATACTTTATATTGTCATATACTTTTGCAAAAAGGATGAGCGTTTAATTTCCTGAATTTCTTAAAATAGTAATGTTTTTCTTCTTTTTTTTTTTCTTGCTTTTATCACTAAATCGGAAATTAAAATATTGAAGTACATTGAGACATAAATTTGTATATATTTACTATATAGAACTTGATGCAACTAATAGTCAAGGTGTCATCGCTAAAAGATCGACTCAATCATCGAGCGATACAAATCCCACTAAACCATTTTCTAGAACTCGGTTTTCAATATATAATGATACAAAAAATAATGAGGATACCAAATCGACTACAAAACAACCTCATTATAAATCTAAAGAGAGCGAAAAATTATTGGTACGTATAATTGGCCTTTCATTTAAATTTAGTGACTAAACATTTGAAATATCTAGTCAACACATCGCATGAACGATGATTACAATTAGTGCAGTTATTATTATTTATTATTTTCAAGGTTTGTAAAACATTTTTTTTAATATTTTACGTTTCTTGTAATCGTAATGTACGATGTGAGACAATTATGAGAAAATGTAGACCAAAGTTAAAATAAAACATTTATTATTATACTAGCTTATAATACAAATAATAATAATAAATTAATCACTACAATTATCTATTATTTGTTATTTGTGTAGTTAATTGTGATAATAATTTATGATTAATTGATGAAATTCAATAAAAAAATAAAATAAAATAAGATTCGTTTTCGATTGTTAATATGAGCAATAAATTTTGTAGCACGACATATTTTTATTATAATTGATATAAAATATAATTTCGCAGTGGATCTATTTTCGATATATTATAAATAAAAAATACTAATAATAATAATAAATATATGTATGTGTGTGCGTGCGCGCGTGCGTGTGTGTATGCATATACAATATGTGTGTGTGTATATATATATATATATATATATATATATATATATATATATATATATATATATACATATAAAGCAGTTTCTATTTTTACAAGTAAAATATTTTAAAGCTTGGAAAAACACGAATAATGCGGCATGAAATCATTCGTACAATCATTATTTAAAGAATAAATGAATTTATTGAATTTAACTGTCATGTATAATAGAAAGTATCATGTTTACGCGAGGCTGTACTAAATGAAATTACTTCGAAGGAAAATGATAAAAAAAGCGATGAAAAATTAGCGGCGTCCATGACATACGTAGTATCACCAAAGAATCTACCAAATATTCCAAAAGTCAATGTATTTAAAGTGAGTACAATAATTAATGTTTTGATTTCACGAGAATAAGTAGTAATGAGTGTATTAAAATATTTAAAAACTTTGAACTTCATGTAGATTAAAGAGGAGCATAAGAAAGCATCCAGCACAAGGAAAATGCCAAAGGTTATCTATGAGGTTTTATCATTGGAATTAGCGTATAATATTGATTATATGTACGAGTATGTCAGATTTCAAATGGAAATTAGTGAAAAGAAGAGGCTTTGTCCAGTTTTTTTGACGAAAGGTATATCCGTAGATCAACGGAGATTAATCGTAAAATATCTACTGTGTTCCACTGTAAGTATGTTTAAAGTGATAAAATTTGATTGCTTACAAAACTCATTAAAAAAACGAAATTTATTTTCTAATAAAATCCAAAATTATTACTTTACGTAAAATATATATTTTGTTTTTAAATGTGTTTTTTAAGTACATTGATCATCATTATGGTCATTATGATCGTCATTTTTTTTTATTCATATCTTTTTTTTTCAGTCATACCACAAGTATCCATCGTTCATTTTGTATCAAGCAGTCAAAATATTTGATTCTTACATTAATGCAATTGAAGTGGCTTTAAATGAACTACAAACAGTTGCACTGGCGGCACTTTGGATTGCATTAAAAAAAGATTTAATAATCGACGACGTACCGGAGGTATAAGAATTAAGCTAAGCGTAAAAAATAGATTGCGCAACAATTAGTATAATAACATCGATTTTTCATCAAAGTTGAAGTAATTAATAAAAATTTTCTCGTTTCATATAAGGCTTCGACGATAATCAAACTAGCTGGAACTGCTTTTCAAGGTAATAAAAAACCCCTTTTCGAATGTGAGAAGAAAATATTGATGACATTGAACTTCGAAATATCTTTTGCCGAGCCATTTTCTATGCTGGCTTTATATACCGTTATGATCGACGAAGTTCGTGATTTAGCTTCGATGAAAGTACAAGAGCTCTATTACTGTGGCAGTTATTTGGTAAATCGCTGTATTTACTTTCATGAAATTTAAAATTTGTATGCTATTAACAATTCATTAAGTCACGTGCTATTATAAAAGTAGATTTCTTTCTTTCATTCTTTTTTTTATTATTATTTTTTTGTTTTTATTAGAATTTAACACGCTTTAACGTTTCAATCTCTTCTATATTAATGTTTAAAATAATGTTGACTTCGCACGATACAATATACATATACAATAAAATGGGAATATAATATTGCCTTGCCCTTATATAATAATTCAATAATAATTAAATTGTATTAAACATAATGGTAAGCAATTTAAACGCAAATATTACGTGATTTTGAGAATTCGAGCAAATATTATAATCTGAATGATTTAAGGTATTTCAATCGCTGCGCCCTTTATCCACATCAGTAATTTTCAACTAAAAATCTCTAATTGAAGCTTTGCTTTTTTTTTCCTTTTTTTTCTCTTTTTTTTTTTTTTTTTTTTTTTCCTTTCTTTTTAACAGATAGACCTATCGCTCCTTCACGATAAAATGATGGATATTTCGGCTGTACATTTGGCAGCTATCAGTGCTGAAATCGCTCTCGTCTTGGTTATGTCGCAAGATGATAAGGTAAAAAATCCTCAATGGTCTTATTGGCGAAATCGTGTATACATATCTAATCCAACAATTGATAAATATCGGTAAGTAATTATGATGCTCAATTAATGAAATAACAATCGGTACGCCACCATTATCAAGTTGTACTATTTACATACATAAACACTCTGTTTTATTGCAGTTTGCCTGACTCGGAAATGAACGACATTAGAAATCAGTTGTTACAAAAAGTTATGCTGTCTAATGATAATAAAACGGACTTTTATGTCGTTTACAAGAAATACAATAGTAAGCGATACGGGCCTGTTTCCAATATCATTGTTACCAAAACATCTTCACTCTTTTTGCAAAAAATAACCGATCCTAATTATGCTGCTTATCCAATTACTTTTTGATAGAATTATTAGCATAGGTAGCATTTGATTTGTTAAGCACCAAAGCTTATATTATAATTTTAAATTAACGTGCGTACATAATGATATTGATGATTTCGTCTTAGAGGTGAAACGTCAAGGTCTTGTTATGGTTTTTGCTTTTTATTTGGCAGATATTATGTAGAATTATCATATCCTAAAAAACGAAAATTACTCTAGCCTCTATCAGTAACAAAAGTTAAGTATTAAATGCTAATTATGAAAGTAGAGGAGATAGAGCATATAATTGCTACATAAAATTTAAGACAAAAATCTTCAAAAAAAAAAAAAAAAAAAAAAACAAAAAACAAAAAACAAAAAAACAAAAAAACAAAACAGAAAGTCATTATGAATGATTATGAGAATATAAGATTTTATTTATCAGACTTTTAGTGCAATGAAATTCGATAAAAGTAAAAGAGATACGTGTCTTTAATGTATTTAAGAATACGTGTTATCTTAATTAATTAATACTCGTATTCTAGCGGAATTGTTGCCCATTGTTTCCAGCGATTCCAAGAATTGTCAATCGATATCAGACTTTGTGTTTCATCCTAAAAGAAGGAGATAAATTAATTTATTAGTAAAATGTGTAATAATTCATAATTTAATAATAATATTTCCTAATGAAATTTAAATATATCATGCACACAGAGAGAAATAATATATTTATACATAATATGGCTAATAGAAAAATAAATTCTTTATTTATTTATATATTTTGATAGACTTGGATAATTATGAAATTAAAAGCTATTATGGTCGAATAAATAATATTGTATGATAAATCGTTGATTTATTTTTCCACCTTCTATTGTAAAAAACAATATATGATTAAAACTTAATATTCCTAACTAATTAGTAGACGATTCAATATAAATTAACTATTACTTAGAATTATCTAGGACATATAAAATTGTTCAATCCTTACAAAGAATATTTTGTTTTCAATTTTATTTCATCTACTTGATACGCATAATTTCAGATTCCCAATGATTCACAAATTTCGTGCTTCAATAACTAATCGATTACCTTAAACAGGATGTTCGATTGCCCAGCCCAGGTACCAAAAAGTCGAAGGAAATCCGGATTTTTCACATACAAACTACTCGCCGCTAAAATTCCGTGTGTCAGTTCTTCTAAAGCGTTTGCAGATTTCCCAGCAAAACTAACGATCACTCGGGGTGGTTCCATGCCAAAATTACATCGCTGCCAATCATCAACTCGAGCGATGCCGCCATTTGGACAGACTAAATTGAAGTCCGAACTCTTTGTTGAGTTCTCTAAACAATTTTATTATTTAAATAATTAGATTTCAGTTGTTTCAATGTAGCTTTGCAAAGCGCTTTAACGAAAGACACGAAAGTTTTCTCAAAACAAATTTAATATTTTGGTGGTTTACCTTGCTTAAGGGCAGTAAAAGGAATAAAAGCGACTTGGCCTTTGCCATCAAGTAGACATCTGCAATAAAAGAAAATATATTCACAATATTATTGCATTACTTTATACTTATTTTAATATAAATAAAGTATTATACATTTAACAAAACTATCTCATATTCGATTAATTAATATGTTAGAAGCTTATAGTACAGCTTCTAGTAAGTTTTGCTTATAAATGTCAAAAACTTTGTTACCTAATAATAAAACACAGTAACATAAATAGGAATAATATAGTCTATATAGCGATTACATCATATATACACGGATATTATAATATAAATTCATATTATATGAAACATAATATGATTTAATTTTAGAAATATGTAACAATACTATTCAGATTTCTCCGAATTCTCCAATATTCTTTTTTTATTTACTTTGTAATTAAATGTTATAACTTATTCATGATCTCGAACATTTTAAATTTTAATTGTTTTTAAAATAATGAGCTTAACGATTGTTTATTCAATGGAAATAAGTCAATTTATCTATCCAGAATATTGTTTAAGTAAAGCACACATAGATAAATAAATCTATCCAATCGATAATAATCAGAAAGAAATTCGATTAAAAATCAGCATATAGATGCACTTAACCAGTTAATTTAGTTACTCTCTGCATTTAGTGAAGGATAGAGATTATCAAATTAATGTTATTATTTCGTGAATAAATTTAATAAATGGAATGGAATAACGCGCATTCCAATCGTTATCCACCAGTAAATGTAATATATATATATATATATATATATATATATATATATATATATATATATAATGCTTTTTATTTTTCCCCTTATGTGCCTCTTTCATTTGCTTTTTAATATAAATCAGGAGCTTCTTTTCGAGGGATAACCAGTCAAAACTTGCTATATGAGCCTGTAAAGTGAAAATAGGTTTTGTGTCGACGGAGTTTGTGATTTATTTTGAAATTTTCTCGAAACTTCGGATAATAATAATAATAATAATAATAATAATAATAAAAGAAAAAAAAAAAAAAAGATAATTGTGTAAGAAAAACTTTGATAATAAAAATTAAGAACGGGATATTATAATATTCTATCCCTTAAGGATTAATTTATTATCAATATTTTTAAAATCACTTCTCTCTAAATTGAAATATTAAATCTAATTGCAGTAATTTAATTTATAATATAGCCTAATGACGAACGAAATTCTCGGATGTAATTATCCTCAAGCTTAACTTCTCTACAGCTTCCGGTTAAGTCAAATTTGTCGCTAAAGTATTTATTATGCCCCCGATACACAAACAGACTGATTGGTGATAATGTATTCCTTTTTCGACATTGTCGTAGTTTAAATGATATCCGCCACGAGCTTCGAGAATCCCTAAAGCCATATGCTACCTTCTACATATTATGATCAAATATCTAAAAACAAATACAAAGTCCAACGACTTCTTACGTACGCGAATAAATGTATTGCAATATACATTACGCACTTGAGAGCTCCACGACCTCCTTTATAATCTTCTGCCTCTGTTGAGCTGCACTTTGTAATTTCAGCAAGATTTTCATCTTTGGAGGCAAGATTTCCAATGCAGAGGCTGCAGAGTGTCGAGTCTCTGTCGGCTCCAGGCACGCACGACTCGACGAAAAAATCTGCAATATCCTTTTCCGAATTAATCAGGTGAACATTTTTCATTGCGTGCACCGGAGCTATCCAACCGGCGAAGTCTTCTTTGTAGCCGCTGTGGCACGAATTTTTCCCCTTAAGGTGGCCTGCGAGTGTGTTTGAAACAACAAGGACATCGCATTAGTTTGGAAGTGCTGAGAAACAGGGAGCGCGCGCCATTCCTGTCTACCTGTCATTGATTTGAAATTGAAAATGCACGACGGCTTCAACGGCAATTTTTTATTATCGAGACGCTTATATCGGCCGACTATTTGCGCGATCAATGCTCGATGCTTATTTTTCATATCATTCGCTTAACGAATCATTTGATAATCGGATTAATAAACATGGCTATCGCATATTATTTCGACATTTTCTAATGATTCTTAACAATGAGAATATAATTCAAAGATAATTTTTAACAATCTGTTACGAAAGCCTATTATTATTATTATTATTATTAATTTCGGAGAATACGAAAGTACATCGAGTTAACGACGCCCTATGTATCGCGCATATGACAAACGATAATTATCATTGTAAAATTAAATGCACACGCACACGTTTCATTATCGTTATTTGCCTTCTTTTTGTGCGCGCTTGTGTGTACGTGTGTTTCACGCGTTCGGCTTTATCTATTTAAGGAGCAACAGTTCCGTTGGATATGGACGATAGGTTTCCTAGGAATATCGTTTTCATTTTCTTTTCTCTGTAAAGCCATGGACACGAGCGAGAGTCCAGGATAGGCGATGACAGGAGGACGAATAAGCGCCAAGTGCGCGCAAACGCTATTCGCTTTCAGTTTTAACACTCGTTAAGCGCCTTCGTGGTAGATGAGGATGCAGATTCAGATGCAGATGCAGATGAAGCCTTACGTAGGGATTTAATGTAGCTGCCGCGTTTTATGACGGCAACGGCGGGCCTCTCGCTAAACTCGTTCGCTCCGGCTCCGTACGACTCCGCGACAATCGGCTTCACATTGTAGTTCTTCATCGCGCTCTCGACCTTCTCACCCCTCATGACCAGCAGATCCGCGCCGTCGTCACGCAGAGCCTTCAGGCAGGCCTCCTCCTCCTTTTCCAAGATACAGTCGAACCTCGGTCTTGCGTCTCTGCAACGTGAAAAGAGTCAACGCGCTCTTGGTCGTTTTGGTCGTTACATTTTCGCGTGCACGTATATAACGCGAGGCTTTTTATTTCTTTGTACATTCGTTCATCGCGATATTGTCGGCGCCGTTACTTTTTCGTTAATTGCGATAATTGGAGAGGTGTTTGAATATTGCGGCGCGGGAATATTGCTCGAAATTGCGCGTGCCCTTGAATGATTAGGGGCTGCCCTTACACGTATGATTTGCATCTACCGTTTTCATTTAAAAGCCGTTCATCCGTTTTTTTTTTTTTTTTTTTTTTTTTTTTTTTTTTTTTTTAACCGGGCAATTTTCGTTCGACATTCTCCTTGAGTATTGTCATTAAATTTTCATTCGCATATTCATTGGCATCGAAAGTGAATTCTGCTTATTTACCGTGAATAGGCAGCTTTGGATAGCGCACGACACTTTTCTAAGGCCTTTGTCTCGTAAACGCACCACCGGGCATTTCGCTCGGGTGCGCCAAAATTCCTCGCGATTACGTCCATGTATTTGGCGATTTTGAGGTGCTGCTCCGGATCAATCGGCGACGTCGCCACTGCCAAAGTCCTTTCGTTTAAAAGCATCAAATTTCTCCACCAGCTGGTTTTCTTTTCCTCTCCGAATTTCCCCAATTGCGTCAACTCCTAGGGGACGTCGTATTTTTGTTTTCTTTTCTTTCTTTGCTTTTTTTTTTTTTTTTTTTAAGATAAATATTCTCATTATATTATTTTAGATATATTATCGATTTTTACGGCTGATGGATGCACGATGCACGATGCACGATGACGGATCGTCTTTATTATTATCGCATTTTATTTCATCGGCCGTATGGAGCACAATACAAGGATAGCAACTTTTGCTTAAGATTTTCATTGGGAGACGAAAGTTCGAATGAAAATATGAATGCATCGGGCATGTGAATTATCTTTGGATTAATGAGGTTAGATCGTGAATGACGCTATATTGGCGATCATGATTTCACGTTAGGGGGATCTTTAACGTTAGGAGCGCTTAACTGACCGAACGAAAGAGCCTTAGCAATGATCGCGAGTGCTCCAAGATTTTTTCAAACTGCGACAAGAAATCCCTAAAGCATCAAAACTCGTTTAACAATGAGATAAATGTCAATGTGTTGGTTGGGCCGATCCGTGCCAAGCTAAACGATGATAAAATAATTTATGGGGTCGCGATTACGGAAAATGACTCGCCTTTTGTACGGCATCAATGTCGGCGACGCCACCATTAGTCATGTAGCCTTGCCAGGGTCTCGCCGCCCAGGTGCAGGGCTTCGTCCTCTCGTCGATGGGCACCTTAGTACCATCGGGACAGAGATAGCGATAATTTCGGGGATCGGCTTTAATCGTCGTGGCCGTCGTCGCCGTGGCCTCGTTGCTCCCTTGCGTGTCCAGCCCGAAAAACTGGCGGACGTAGATGGCCTTGGTCCAGGCGACGTCGCCGCCGTTCTGGGTGAGACAGCGCAGAGCCCCCTCGTAACCGCTGTACGCATCCGGATAGTCGCAGATGTCCGGCTTCTCGCATAGGGCGCAGAGATTACCGTACGTTTCCTCTGAAAGACGTTTGCTTTTCGTAGCTGGCAACGCGTCTATTTACGCTTCGTGGGATGCACGGGAACGGTGATGGATCGGCAAGTGGAGATTAGTGCTATGAGAAATTCAAACTCACTGAGCCTCTGGTTAATGGTGATGTCCGGTGACCAGGTGCCGACGAGGCAGGCCTTGCTGAAGAAGAAGCTGAGAGCGCGCAATTCGTTCTCGCGTGCCGAGTACTCCGGGCTGTTGAGATCGGTAAGTACTCCGAGGGCCGAGAGCTTCGTCAGTGGAATTTTGTAGCCAACGTTGCGACCGACTCCAACATGGCAGGACTTGAGACCACGGAGACTCCTTGGGTCATCGATTTTCAGATTCTTGTGCACGACCGAGACTGCCTCGTAACGATATTGGGCGTTCGGCTCCTCTTTCGTGCGAATCTACATTGGACGAGCGTTTCGAGATTTGCAAAATATTTACATATCATTTGCATTTAATTTATATACTAGTCTCGTGTATTTTTAGAAACTTTGTGATTTTGGAGGCGCAGTGGAGCCGGATGTTATTTTAGACGCTTGATGGGTGATTTTCGTGTCTGTTGAATTTTCAATTTTTAGTTGATGAGAAATTAATTTAAGAATATATGATTCGATAGCTTGTAAGATGATAGCGCGAGAGATCGTCTTAATTGGTTTTGAGAAAAAGCCCCGTTAGGCATTAACAAAAAAATTGCTTTTGCTTCTTTTCATATCTGACAATTTCGTAATCACGTTACGAATTAATTATATACGAGATATACGAGATTGAGCAATCCGTTTAATGTAAGTACAATAATCCGCGCACAATGATGAAGAATGTTTATGCTACAATAGATAATATTAAAACGCTTAAATCAACCAATCACGATACAATATAAGAAATTTGATATAATAAATGCATTAATTTTTTTAACAAAGTCTTAATTTGTTTTAACGAATAGGGAATGCATTATTGCTTGAAATGAGGCTAAAGGTAATTCAACCGAATGTAAAATTACAATATTAATTTTTATTATATAACATTATACACGTACGTGTATATAATGCACGATATACAATGATACCAGTAATGATCCATAAAAGTATAAAGCATTCCACTAACTCTAACAATTACTCATAATCATTTGATATGAACTTGACAGTTCGGTTAGAATTTATGAGACTTTTAAAGTTCCATTACACGTTGCAATAATTTGACTGTAATTTTAATTATACTGTAATTTCTACTTACGTACGTTCATATTCGCATAAATGGATGTAATGCATTGTACGTTCATCGTGTTGTAGAATAAATTTTAATAATACAATGCGAAAAGACGATATAGTCTAGTCGTCCAATCGATATGATAAACTCGTGTCTTATTGCGCGTTT